TGTTCTACTTGGTCCACTATTTCCAACCGCTTGCGCTCACTCCTTGCGAACCCGCACACGTTCCACGACCCGACTCTCAGCTTGTGCTTTTCCCTCTTGGAGATGTTGCGCACTCTATCGTTCGCCTTCCGTTTCTTCTCGGCCTTCTTCTGACTTGCCTGCTCGCCTCCCCCGCTCGGTCCTTTCTTCGCCTCCCGTCGCCCTCGCCTCTTGTCTCCTTACCTTCTCTGTTTCTATCATGTTCGCGANGCAGCAGCTCCAACTTGTCTCCCTTCCACAGTTTCTGCTTCCATCCTCCCGGCTTCTTCACCATCCTCATGATCTCTACGGCACCTGGACCGTGGCCACTTGTTTTTCATGTTTTTTCAGGAAGGTATACGGAATACTCGGCCTTCCCAATCCGAGTGTCCGGCGGGGGTTGTGTTGGCGGCCTACGCCACCACTTATTCATCGGGTGAGACTGTTTTGGTGATGTATTAACTTCACGAGAGGTAGACGACCGTCCATTACACGGACGAAAGAGTGAGTGCCCCACATGAGCAGCTCCTGCACCAAGGAGGGGCCCCGTGACTCATCGCGGTGCCCCCTACCGGCAATCTTCGCAATCTGCGTGACACCAAAATCATACAGCACATGTATCCAACAGCAATGTTCGCAGACCCACGTACAAGTTGTGCTTCCTTTCAGTTCTTTTGCCGGCTCACCGATGCTAAATAGCGCCTCCAACATAGGCTCGAAGTCTAGATCCAAGTTCACACCTCCTGGAACAAGTACCCCAGTCTTGTGCCGGGCGCTCTGCTTAGTAAACGCCCAGGCGTCCCCCGACCGTCCAATTTTTCACCTCCGAAGTCCCACGGTACAGGCTACTTTCCTCCTAGGAGGTCATTTTCACCACAATAAGATCAGGCACGACTTGCATAGCGTAAGATCCTACTCACCCGCCGGGATGAAGCGTACACCAACGTCCAGCTTCTCGTGTACGCTCCACCATGGGTTGCTACCCCACTTACGCTCCCGAGTAGACCTATCTGCCGAAAGTTTGGCCAACAATTCCTTACTGCCTCATACTCGCCTCCCTCCAATCGAAAACAATACATTGTGCGTGCCGCACATCTAGCTCCGCAGNGATCAGGGACGACTTGCATAGCGTAAGATCCTACTCACCCGCCGGGATGAAGCGTACACCAACGTCCAGCTTCTCGTGTACGCTCCACCATGGGTTGCTACCCCACTTACGCTCCCGAGTAGACCTATCTGCCGAAAGTTTGGCCAACAATTCCTTACTGCCTCATACTCGCCTCCCTCCAATCGAAAACAATACATTGTGCGTGCCGCACATCTAGCTCCGCAGTTTTTGGGTGGTTGGTCTGGTCGTTCAGCTTGCTCGACGTGAGTAACACGCTTTGCTTTAACGCACCCAGAGGGGGGGTGGATAGAGGGAGCGGAATGCGTGTTCCCGCCGCCGTTCCTATTGCGTCTGCGGGAAGCGGGGTGTTCCCGTTGCCATTCATTCGTGCTGCGTCACCTGCTGGATGGTTGGGGGTGCTGACGGCGGGGGGAGGGGGAGGAAGCGGTGGCGGTAAATAGCCGCGGAAACCGCGGTCGGTCATACATGGAGTGTGGGTTTGCCTCTCAATTTTTCGCCGTCGGTCACCGTAAGCTAAAAGCGAAAACAGGCAACAACACAAGGGGGTGCCATGTATGTCCCAAAAAGGAATGGAGGGGGTCTGACACCCACAGGATAAGGTGGATGCGCACAGGGAGCACACAGGAAAGAATGCGTTTCGCCAGGGTGAGAGACAAGTCTAAATGTGTTTGAGCACATGGCGCCGCTCTGGCCAGCAAGTCGTGACGAGAGCAGGTTGTACCTCAATAATTTCGTATTGGACCCTTCAATCATCATGCTAGATCATCATGGGTATGACAAAAGAGACACTGTATCGGCAGGATTTGCAGCGGAAAGAGACGGTTGACAAACGACTTTTCTCAGGCTTTTTCTGGTTATGAAATGGCGTATTTTGTGTTTGTGTGTGTCCCACCAATTCTGGACCGCAGTTTTTTACATCGTTCGGTATGGGTTGTGTGGACACATCGGCCAGGGTCATGCGTCATGAAGGTGTCGCCTTCAGGCATTCTTCTCTTTGATTTACAGCCGCGGAGTGAGCAGGCGGGCGAGGGTGAAGCAGGGCGCTATTGTTGCGCACGGCTGTAGCATCTGCCTCGCTCATGAAATTCGCTATTCTTCCCTTCCCGTGTCTCGCGTTTTCGTCACCTCGGAAAACAGCACGGGGTTAGCATTACATCATGCTTCTCTTGATCCCTTGGTCTCATCGAATCTACCAGCAGTCGTCCCAAATACATACAAAGTGAACTTCATTCATTGAAATCGATCAACTTAGGCGTGCAGGTCTTTTCAGCGTCGCTCTACCACTATGCATGCGGCCGTCAGCGGTAGAACGTATGCGGCAGACAAGACAGACTACACCACGCAGATACACGCAAATGATATCGATCTCTGCCCGAAAAAGTGTCCATCGCACCATTCATTCGGGTTGTACCCCTCGTTGTATCCAGCCCCCCGCAACGACAAACCATGTTTTCTTAACTGCGCCCTCGATTCAACAACCCTTCCTTCTCTCGCTGCTTTCTATTCTAGGGTGGTGACACATGCATGTGTTCCTGGCATCAACGGAGTTCTTCGAAGTAACACACCGGCAATCGAGAGCTCGTTTCTTACGCAACCTCGATTTGTGCGTTGTCACTTCCGCCATCGACGTCTAGGAGTATCAACAACTGCCTGTCTCCACAACGGCAAGATAACGGTCTGACCTCTCCCCCGGCACCTCCTTCTATACGCGATACTTTAAAGGCTAAACACGATCTCAAGAGCAAACCCACAAGTAACGCACAACACATCCTCACATTGGCGAAATATTCAATCCCTTGTCAACGTCACGCAATGGAGAGTATTCAAGGCAGTAGACCAGCAACCCTATTCACATGAGACCCATCCCTACAAAAGGCTACACATGACAAATGAAGGCGCAGCAGCAGCAACAGCAAGTTTCAGTGCGTAAAATTCCACATAAAACTTTACACTCGCATAAACTGTCTCAACCCTCCGAAGGAGCAGCATCCTCCCCGAAAAACGGGCATCCCGTTTCCCGCTTCGCGCGGTTCGTACCTTGGTATACGTACGCGGGGTGTCTCTGAAAATAAAATGGAAACCGACGAAACATTGGCTTCCCACCGCGCTTGTGGCCGGGGAGCAGCACACAATTCGAGGGTCAGAACAAGAAGAAAAAAAAAGACACGTAAGTGCATGTACCCAACCAGTTCTGACACTTTCTTCCTGTTTCCCCCCCCTGTTTCGAGTGTCGAAGGCGTCGTTCCAGAGCATGGCGCCTCTGTAAACGACAAATGCAGTAAGTAGAAGGTTTGTGCAAACACATGCTCTCGCCGACTGCAAGCAGCAAACAAGGTCAAGCTACATACACACGGGACAGGCACCCCCAGCAGCAGCAGCAGCAAGGTTCAGTGCTTGAAACTTCACACTTCGCAAAAACTGTCTCATCCCTCCGAAACAACAGCACCCCAAGCCACCCATCCATCCCACTTCGCATGTCGAGAGCTCGTCCCACACTGTTGGGGTGATCGTCCACGACCCTCCAGACCATTGAGAAGCAAACAAACCGAGCGTTAGAAAAAAACAAAAGGCACACGAGCGTCTGACATATCACATGTACTCGGCCAGTTCTGAGCGTTTGCTCCTCTAGCATTCCCTCCCTGTTTTTTGAGTGCCGAAAGCCTCTTCCCAAAGCATGTAGTGCCTCTGAAAAGTACCCCAAAACAACACAGGCAGCAAGCAGAAAGTATTGTGCGAATGTTCTCATGGACTGCAAGCAGCAGACATATAAATGGAACAACAGAGACTTCGCCTTTTCTCTGGTATTCCTCTGCTCTAGTCTATATGGTGAAACGGAGACACAACGCGTTCCAAAAAATACATAAAATCACCCAACCGTCCAGGCAGAAGGGTGTAGTGCACGCCCAACCCCGTCAAAAACAAGCCAACATACGAAAACCACACACTCAGAACTGCCGAAACACAGAAGCACTCCTACGCTCACAAGAATAAACCAACCAGAGTTGTATACAACACGCATCCTTCTTGTTGTAATGGATCAAATGAACGTCCTTCCGTTGTGGGCGCAGCACTCTCTTCTACCCGCAGTAGCACCCACGCGTCGACGCATTTACTCCTCCACAAAACACCAGCCGCAACCCCTTATTTGCCCTTGTGGGTGAACGAATAGCACAAGTCACGACACCCAGGAAGAGCGTGGGGAACGATCCTATCATCATCAACTCGCTTCGCTACTCATCCTCTGCAGAGTGCAAACCCAAAACGCCATTCTTCTGCAAGGCAAGCTTCAAAGGAGTTGCAGGCCCAAACAGCCGTACCGCAGAATCGAGCGACGGCGTGAGGGTACAGAACCGATACATCATCATGCCATGCAGACGGTGCGCTCATCGCGGGAGAACAAGTTGGGGCCGCACCCCGGCTGCTGAGGAGGTTTGGTGATCGTCTTGGCCGCCCCCCTGCACTCCTCGTCCCTGCCGCAGCCGTACCCACTCTCCTCGTCGCTGTTATCACGGCCTTCTTCCGACGCTGAGCTCAACGAGTGCGTGCGGTACCCCCCGTCCTCTTCTTCGTCCTGTGCCGCCGCCGTGGATGGCCCGGCGATCGGGGCCCAACTCAAGTCCGCCGCCCGCTTGACGCGCTCCGCCCGCTTGACGCGCTCCGCCCGCTTGACGCGCTCCGCCCGGCGCAACTCCTGCACCACCGGGGCCACTAGGCGCCACGAATCCCGCGGGGATGAAAACGACCCCGGGGACGGCAGCAGTGACGTCCCCTCCTTCTTCCGCCCCCGCCGGCCCCCGTCCGCCGTCGACTTTTTCCGGCGGCGTTCCGCGGTGGCCGGCGGCTTCCTCACCGTCGCCGCCGACGCTAGGGTTAGCGCCTCCGGCGGGATCGAGGTGGCGACGAGCACAACCCCCAGGGCTGCCGGCGGGAGAAGCCCGCCGTCGCAGCCGCCGCCGTCTTCCTGCCCCTCGGCCGGGCCACCCGCCGTCGGGAACATGTTGGACACCTTGACGGCGCAAGCCGGGGCGGCGCCAGCAGCGCCGCGTGACGGCGGGAGAGGGGTCGTCAGGCTCGCGGAGGAAAGAGGCGACGGCGGTGAGCGTGGGAGAGGAGGCAACAGGTCGTCTGCAACGCCGCTGCTGCTGCTGCTGCTGCCGCTGCTGCCCCGCGCCCCCGAAGCGGGTGGAGACGACGCGGTCGCGATCAATTCGGTCGCCTCCGATGCTGTTGCGGCAGCGGCGACGGCTGTGTCTTGGATCTCCGACGCAGATGGTGTTTCTTGGTCAGATGGTGTTTCTTGGTTGGCTTTGTTTTCCACCTTGGTGGCGGCTGCCTCCCTCATTGCTTGAACGAACTCGCGCCTGGGTGGGTTTTGCGTGCATGGGGGGAAAAGTTGGAGAACTTGTATATGTCACAGCGCGATACCGGGGGGGGGTGCGAAAGCGCGTTGAATACCGTGGTCGAGGAAAGGTATCACACCACCTGGGTCGATCGAGGCGTGGACAACGGCGGCGTTGGTACCGTCTCGTCGAGAGCTTTCCGAAATCGTATCGTTTCAAATATGCATCCTGTTCGTCATGGAGTACTCGAGCTTTCAAATCGTCGCGCCTGGGGGTGTTTACCTTGTATGTGTCACCTTGGGTATTGTCCAACCATTCGGGTGAAATCTTCCGTGTCCATGTGCAATCGACTCATTACCAGGCGCCGGAAGGCCAGGGTAAGGCGTTTGGGGATACTCAGCACTCGATACTGATCTACGGGGATTTAGGGGGTTTCGTGTATCGTTGGCGGTATGTGTTGGTGGAGGGGCGATCCCCCTTCTGCTGTGCATGGGCTAGCATACCCGGCGTACTCGTTAATATACCAAGGTCTTGAATCAACCTTTCTTTTCTGCGCTTCTGACAACAAGCTGCTCGCCTCCAAACACGAGATAAGCTGGCCCGCGTAGCCACACAATCACAAGAGGCTTCAAGAGAGAAATATCTTTAGAGGTGTGTCTTTCCTCTTCCAGCAGCCGTCATGGCCTCTTTTGTCGCCACGAACAACCAGATTTAACACTGAAATAGGTAGGGAATTGGATCATTATCTACTGACAGTAGTCAGCATTCTTGTACTGGTCATTTTCCTAGGACTGGCTCAGAAGAGTGCCAGTACAGCCGGTACTTCCGCATGTTACGCACGTCCCACATAATGGCTCCTGAATGAAATGGAAACCCACCAAATTGCACCGCATGAGCGCATGAGAAGGTGGAGAGGGTGAGAGGGGAGGGCAAGCACGCAAACCCACACGCACGCACTGGAGGGACGTGCGACCGTGTAATCGATGGATCCAAAGTATTTCAGATAATATTCTATGGCTCTGAGCGAGGATGTGTTGATGGTGAAAGATGGGGACCATCTGGCGAAGGCTTTCAAGTTGAAGATGTGAAACATCATGTTGACAATATTTCTGCTATTTGACCTGAGTCCGGCATCGTCAAAGTGGCCGAAAACCACCCAAAAATATGTTCTACTGAGACCACATTATAGCGTAGAACACGCCGCGACCACGCGTGCAGCCGACTACACCCAGTAAAAGCACGCAGTCAGTTTTCATGATACTAGAAAAACATGCGATGCATCTCGTTATATTTTTTTCCACCTTTTTTTCACGTTGTGCGGAACGCATGTTGAAGCTGCGCTTGGGGTGCGGAGACGGAGTTGGGGTTTGAGGCAGGGTTTTAGGGGTTGGATTGTTCGGTCGACGCCCAACGCTCGTTTACTGTAGTAACATGAAAAAACACTTCGCAAACACTAGAGGAATCCCACAATATTGCAGTCTTAATCCGGTATGCTTGGGGTGCGGGTGCCAAAGTCGTTCACCCCTCTCGCGATGTCCACAGTAGTGCGGCGGCCGCTGGAGTGAACAGAGAGGAGCGGGAGAAGGGAATAGACGAAACTGGCGGGAAAAATCGATTCCTTGCAGTGTTCGTTGTGTATGGATGTGCACACATGTTGTCAACCCACAAATCGTTCAAGGATTCCCAACAAAGCCCTAACAAATAACCACACGTGAGACGGTTTCGGGTTCAAAAAGAATAATTGAGTCAAACTGTGAAAAAAAAGAAGCATGGTAGAAGTTTAACCCTCATGTGTACTTTCTACGAAGTTTAACATACTACAGTACCGACGAATAGAGGAGGTAGACGCGGGAAAGATAAACGTCAACAGCCGGAAGAACATCGCACGCTGAACCATGCTCTGCTGACTATAACGTACCATCCGTTGAACCGCCCCCGCCGAGTCAGCAAGTCAAAACAAAGAGGTGGGGACCCTGGCTAGTATGAGGCATTTCTCCGTTTCGTGCGAGCACAAAGCAGTCGCCTGGAGGGGCCAAGCGAGGACATGGAACAAACGGTCCGGAGAAAGGCTGCACTCCACAAGAAAAACTGCTGCGGTATTTTATCATGAAGTGATTGGTCACAAGTCAATCCCCCGCCTGTTTTGGGCGAACAAAAGCCATCTGCTGTTCGGAAGATCTATTCCAAAACTTTACGCGGTCTCGTACGCGCCACAATTACCGCGGAACACCCCCCCCCGCAGATCAACGCGGCGGAAGCGGAAAGAAGTCATGTCCTTGAAAACGCCAGTATTTTCCTTTCATTCCGAGATAGCTTTCGCTGTCGCAAAGGGAATGTGGGCGAGTGAACGTCATATGCACAACGGGTATATTAAAAAAGTAGCATTCGTTCCTTCTCGTGAGGGTGCATGGCAACGGACATGATACGCGGATGTGTCCCCAGCGGAGCCTATTTTGATCCCGAGTGAGATTGAAAGGGGTTCCGGCGGGGTGCGGTGTCCTCGCGAAAAGGTTGTCCCTTACCGACAATCTGTGCATACGGTACACGCGTGTAGCTTTTTAACCGACCTTTGAAAGAAGGGGCCCTGGGAGCTCTGCTGTTTAGGAGAGAAGAGAGAGCCAGCAGTGTGCACGAAAAACGTCTTTCCAACCTCCTCCACCCAAGCTCCACTCGGCTTCCATTTTTTCAGCCCGGCTAATCTAACCGATGACGTTATTACTGCTGTCACATGCCGATCTCACCTGAACTCAACGTAGTCGTTCGTTCCCCACCACAGCTCCTCCATGAGCGGACGGAGCTCCTTCCTTGAAGGCACCAAGACCACTCTCACTTGGTGGTTGAACCGAACGTTGCTTCCAACGCAGAAGGCGTCACTTTTATCAACCTTAGGTGGGCGCACGCTGCTGCTTGGGACAGCCGGGGCGGCGGCGGCGGCGGCGGTGGCGGCCGCCGCAGGCTCATCTTCTTCATCGCTGGCAGCGGGGCGGCCGGTCGCAGCCAGACGGAGCAGAGAATCATCGATGCTCAAAGAGTTGATGGCTCGAGGGTGTGCGGGCGCACCCGGCGCCCCCGCGACACGCTGGCAGGTCTGTCCGCCGCCTCTATCAGCGAGCTGGTGTGTTTCCACGGACGACCTCGGCCCCCTCACTCGGCGCCACTGTTGCTTGCGCGTCAACATGCTGTCTGTAGTAGCAGTGGGTGTGCTGTTCACTTGTTGGCTCTCGTGTTGAAGGCGCTTCCTGTCTCTTCTCGCATATATGAAAGAGCGGAGCGTGGCGAGTGTGTTCCGAGGGTGCGAACAGCTTGCGTTGGTGGATTTTTACGCGATACACGTCAGAGACTGGTCGTGGACAGTTGACTGATGATTGGCCACTCAAGTGAACAGCCCAGTCGCGACGTAAGAGTCATCCCATTTTCTTTTTTCTTTTTCCGAACAAAGCCGGGACATCTGATGATGATTGTGTCAACGATACCAAGATATAAGGTTCTCCCCTTCCCCCTCTCCACCCCGAATAAATTGGATCAGTCCGCGGTTTGGTACGCGCTGAGCCTGCTACCCACAGGGAAGATATTGCTGTATGCTGCTCGGGAAATCGAGCTTCCGCTGACGTAACTCTTTTTCTGTTGATAGAGTTGGGTTTGTTTGTGAATGCCACCTCAGACTGTCGTAGATTGTGACGTCAGTTGACCTGTCGGAGATCTACCTTCGGGGTGTTACCACAGATAGAGTCAGTNTCCCTAAGGGAACTTGCTCACACGCGAACCTGGAGACAACAGTCTCATAGTGGCGTCACCGGCGTTACGTGTGTTTGTTGAGTTCTTTGTTTGGTGGTGGCACTACCTCATCGAAGAGCTGCCTAGTCAGTGGGGTTCCCCCGTTACTCTCGTCGCGCGTAAAGATGGTAAACCTCGTTTTTGCGTCGATTTCCGAAGCACCGTCAACAAGCACCTCATTCGCAAGACCTGACCTCTAGCGAACATGGAGTCCAACCTTAACTCTGTCGGCAGCGCCAAGTTCATCAGCGTTGCAGACGTCCAGTCAGCNTAAAGAAGGTAAACCTCGTTTTTGCGTCGATTTCCGAAGCACCGTCAACAAGCACCTCATTCGCAAGACCTGGCCTCTAGCGAACATGGAGTCCAACCTTGACTCTGTCGGCAGCGCCAAGTTCATCAGCGTTGCAGACGTCCAGTCAGCGTACTGGCAGATTCCTGTTCATCCTGACCACGTCGAAAGGACAGCCTTTGTCACCAACTCTGGCAAGTACTGTTACAAGCGGATGCCGTTTGGTGTTTGTAATGCCCCATGGATTTTTACTGAGATGGCCCATAAAACGTTAGGTCATATTCCCGAACTGTTGATTTACATGGATGATTTCTGTGTGCTTTCAGCAACTTTCGAGAATCATATGAAGTCTTTGGAGAGCATGTTCGTAGCTCTCCAAGCAGCAGGTCTGACATTGAAACCTTCGAAGATTTCGTTTGGCCCCAAGTCCATCGAGTATTTGGGACATATTATTTCGGCTGAAGGTATTTCTGTCGGGAAGGATCGTATCAAAGCCGTCCAAAACCTTCCTACTCCTCGTTGCCTAAAAGATCTTCGCTCAGTACTCGGGGTGGTTAATTTTGTGCGCCGGTTCATACCGGATTATGCAGAAATAACCAATCCGTTGGTGGAGTTAACTCGCAAAGAGTACGCCACAAAATCACGTTTCGTAAAAGCTTGGAACAAATCGCACGACGCATCGTTCGCTCATCTAAAGCGGTTATTAACTTCAGCGCCCGTTCTACACTTTCCAGAATTCGATCGGGAATTCGTAGTTCATGTGGATGCATCCGAACATGGGTGTGGCGCGTTTCTTGCCCAGCCGTCCAAGGCTGATCCAGAATCTCTTGACATGATTGCGTATTATAGTCATAGATTCAAACATGGACAGCGTCATTACTCTGCGTCTATGAAAGAGTGTTGCGGTGTGGTTCTTGCAATTTCGCATTGGCGACCGTACTTATTTGGGAAACACTTTACGGTGATCACGGATCATCAAGCGTTGACTCATCTTTTTTATATGCAAGACACCAGCAACATGCTCACTCGTTGGGCTATCGCTCTTCAAAATTATGATTTTACCGTCAAACACGTAGCGGGAAAATTGAACGTCGTACCCGATACGTTATCTCGTTTATTTGGCGAAATCGAGTCCGAAACCATATCACACAAACCGGCCCTAGCGTCGATTTGTAGGAATGTGCCGAGTGATCGTCCGTACCATCCTCCTGGCCCTCGTGACTACGAAATTTCTGCCGATTCGTTGAACGATGTTGATATCGTCCACGATGACAACGAACTGTTTGCTAGTGCTGTATCGTTATTTCCTGTACTGGATCCCGCTAAATTGCGAAGAGAACAGTACAAAGAGTTCGGTCCGTATATCGACTACGTCAAGAAACCCAAAACAGCACCGTTACCGTCTAGCGAAAATAAAGGCACCATGAGTAATTACTTCTTGAATGAGAACGTTTTATTCAGGTCGTACTTACCAGGGTATCTTCGTAAACGCAGTTCGTTTCGTGATCAACTTGTCGTTCCTACCGTTTTGCGTGCGTTAGTCTTGGATTCTTGTCATGATGCTCCTGCGTCAGGGGGTCATCTAGCGTTCAAAGCCACGTACGATAGACTCAGAGATCGTTTTTGGTGGCCGACCATGTCTAGAGATGCGTCCAAACACATCCAGCATTGTTTGTCGTGCCAACACCGAAAAACGTCCCACAGACGACCGTTATTACCTGTGGGTCACCGTCCCGTTACTCGTCCGTTTCAGTGTGTCGCGATCGATCTCGTTGAATATAACTCCGTATCGCAGGGTTGCAAGTACGTCTTGTCGGTCATCGATCACCTGACTCGTTTTCTCGTGTTGATTGCTATTCGTGATAAAAAAGCAACAACAATTGCACAGGCTCTCGTAGAGCGTGTCTTTTCCGTTTTTTCTCCCCCTGAAACGTTACACAGTGATCAGGGCACTGAGTTCGAGAATGAGTTGGTTAAAGAGTTGCAGGCCGTGTTTGGTTTCAAAAAAACTCGGACGTCCGCGTATCGGCCGCAAGGTAACTCTGTATTAGAGCGCGTGCACAGCACAATGCATGGCATGCTCGCAATGTATGCAAACGTTCGGTTTGATAATTGGGCTGAGCTTTTACCGTTTGTGCAACTCGCCCATAACACCGCGTACAACCAAACTCTTGAGGAAACTCCTCACTATCTGATGTTTGGTCGCCAGGCTTTGCTTCCCGTGGATGTCATTCTTGGTGTACCGTCTCATGATAGCTCTGCTTCGCGTATGGAATATTCACGTCGTACCGTGGATAACTTGCAACTCGCGTATGAGATCGCTCGTCGTAATTTGAAAGAGCGAACTGACAAGCAAGCAGACTCGAACGAAAATTTATCCGTACCGCAGACTACTCCTGGGGAACAAGTTCTCGTACATCGTCCCCACACCGTTATGGATGGCCCCAATCCCAAGCTGATCAGCCCTTGGCATGGCCCATTCACCGTTCGTTCAAAAGTATCACCCGTCATCTATCGTGTTTGCAAAGACGGAGAACTCGCGGAAACGTCAGTACACTTGGGTCGTATGAAAAAGTATTATGCTTTTCAACGTGATTCTGTCCCCGATTTTTCTGAATTGGATGAGATGTTTTTGGGACAAACCCTTCCAATTCCCGATTTGGATGGTACCGTGTTTACCGTAAAAATTGGACCGTACGTCGTCGAGGGGATAGACGAATTTAAACGTGGAGCAGGAAAACCGTCTCTCCATAACTTCCAATATTATTTCCTCCTCAAAGACCGTCCTGAAAGTCTTGGGTGTTGGAAGCACTTCAAAGAAGTACCCCAGTGTCACGAGATGATCCGTTCATATCGAGCGTGCGTTCTTCGTGATAATCCGCACGCCTTTGATCATCTTCCTAGAAAGTAGCACTCGTAGCTGCTTCGTATCGTGTTTCGTGCTGCGTTTGCCTTATTCGTTTCGTGTTTCGTTTATTTTCCAAGGGCTATGTTTATTTTTTATATTTTCGTATGTACATACTTCGTATATTTTATTGTTCGTCGTCCAGCACGATCGTTTCGTAGTGCCCGCCGTCCCCAACGTTCCTTCGCAGTCCGGCCGGACATTGACGTTGTTGGTGGATACGCCCACGTTGGATGCAACACCTCGTGGAAGTCGGCAGGCGGAGCCTAGTTTGCGTCGAGATTCGCCCTCCGCGAACCAAGCATGGTTGCGTGTCTTCGTTTCGTCGGACATGCATGCTAGCGCACGTCATTTTTAAGGCATGGCGTTGCCCGTTCGTTGTGTGATTAGATTTTACTATATGTATTTCTCTGTTTGAATGCCGTACGACATAGTACCTCGTGCGAGCTCCGTAAACGTTTTCAATTATGATTGGAACGTACGTCCGTTATAGACAATCGTGCGTGGTGTGAAGCGTCCATTGCCGTTGTGTCGCTGTCCTTGAGATACGAGTGCGTCGTATGGGGTCAGTTGATGCTTTATGTGAGCGAATATGCGTGATCGGAAGTTCGTCGTTTTCTCGTCCACTCCGTCCTGAATTGGGGGGTGATATCGTCTCACTTGCAGTTTGGGGGAATTGCAATTGATAATCGACTTCCGGATCCATGCACTTTTGCATTGTTCACACGGTTTTGTTCATGCCCGATTTGTCTTGTCGTTTGTGTGGTGGATTTTTATCCCACACATCGTTTCTCGCGTGTCGTCCATCGCGAAAGAGTAGATGGTGGTCTTGGCCGTGCAAGAGGAAGCACAAGAGGACCAGACTTTCGTTCCACTACTGCGTCAAATCCATGCTACAGCACATCGTTGGCTGTACTCGTAATCACCATTCGTCGTCGTTCGTCTATGCAGCACCTCTCAATTGCGCAATCGCATGAGAAGGTCGTATCGTTAGCTCTCCACGAGCTGTGCACATATGTTCGTTCGTTGTTGCCGCTGCATATCGTTTGAGCAACGTTTTCCCAGCGGGTCGACCCACGTCATTTGCCATTCGACACTTGTGAAATTTAAGCCTTGCAAGCAACCGTCTTTCACATGTGCAATGTCAAATTATTTTTCGTTGCTGGATGTTCGTTACGTGCAACTACCAAGCAGTTCACGGCGTTGTCTCAAGGCGCTACTGTACAGTTTTTTTTACACTATCGGTGCAAGACGCGCACCGGAGTGATGTTTTTTTCTGTACACACGTCGTTCGTCGTACGGTAGATCACATGTTGCCTACAGCGCCGAGGCGGACTGAAGTGACATGTTCCGTACACCTTTCGTCATCTGTGTAGTTATTCGTTCGTCGTACGGGAATAGTTGCCAAAATTCCTGAATTGCTCTCGTGCAAGCTGTGGTGGTGACTGCGCTATGTACGATCGATGCTCGGATGAGATATTTTGGTGACACGTTCCAAATTTCATAACTACAAAACACAAAGCGTTCGTTGAATTATGGCAGTCGCCGTACGTTTCGGCCCAAACCAAGTCATTTAACTCATCTTTTTCATCAGTACTTCACAATTTCATACAATCTGAGGTATTTATGTCATTCTTGTATCTTTCAATCCGGATTCAGGCCCCGAGATTGAAGATAGGGGGGTGACGTGAATGCCACCTCAGACTGTCGTAGATTATGACGTCAGATGACCTGTCGGAGATCTACCTTCGGGGTGTTACCACAGATAGAGTCAGTGCAGGTTGGATGCTGAACCTTGCTTCACCACAAGGTTGATCCCCACCTGCCTCACACACACACACTCGACTCAACGTTCCGTACATCAACCTCTCCACCAGGAGTTGATCCGGTGTGTATCCACACCGCCCATCCCGAAGGGAACTTGCTCACACGCGAACCTGGAGACAACAGTCTCAGATGTTGTGTAATAATAAAAAAAATCGAAACACCACGAAAAATGAAAAATGATGTATACAGGCTTGTGCTGCTGTATGCGTGGACCGAAATACGAATTATTTGGTTCATGTCACCTCTCTCATGATCGGTCGTCGCGCCAAAAAAGCCGACGCCGCGGCGTATGCTATCTCTTTTTGTTCAGAGTGCCAACCACCGGGCAAACCCCTCCCTCGCCTCGTCATCATGATGAAAGCAAGGAGCACAACACCCAAGGAGTCGGCACACCCACACACACGACACCCACGGCTTTGTGGCACAGCAACCGGCAAATGTGTGTCAGGCAACACAGCAGACAGCGAACGCGTCCCCTCAACACCTACATGTCCGTAGCTGTTCATACAGCAGGGCTGCAAAACATCGTGGCACCGCTGTACCTGTTCGATGGTTAGACTGGTCTTGCCCCAGATGATTATGTTGCTGCCTAGCTGTAGCGAAGAAGTAAGTATACCGTGGCAGCAATGTATCGAGATAGACTCTATCGTAAAGCTATTGTAGCATACAACGAGCTTGGAGCTGTCGTTTTTTTTTGAGGAGTCGGACGGGCCTGAAACCTTCAAGAAGATTGTTCGTGCTCTACGCATGTGTAGGGTTGTCTACACTGTTGCAAACTGTCGTAGCCATCGCATGGCCGCCGCGTTGACACATCATACATACACATGCATGACCCTATATCGAGACAAGCGTTCTTTGTCGTTGCTCTTGTCCAAGACATCTCCGGGCTTTTGTCCCGATCTCAGCCGCACAAAGAGCAACTTTCTTGCCTTCAACCAGTTCAGGAGCACACCCATACCATGAGCTGTAGGCCACTCGAACTGCTGGGAGGTGGCCCAAAAGTTGCCTTGTATTACTCTCTATCGGCGCCATCTACTCTGCACAGCTGTCACGGTTCTGAATGCAGCTTAAAAAATCGCTATGTGGGGGTGATTGTTCTAGGTTGAAGCTGCTGTTGCTGCTGCTGCTGCTGACCGCCGCCTCTCTCTTTCGGTTGATTGAAGCAGGACGCCACCTAAGCGGCTGAGAGTTTGCTTGCTAGAAGCCTTAACAGAGTGTTTCTCTGCGGTAACAACACCCCCGCTAGATGCTCCTGGCACCTTGGATGATAGTAGATGGCACCACCCAATCAAGCAAAACTATTTTCTTGCTTGGGGAGAAGGAAAGCGTGGGGAACGGCGCGCGCGAGTCTTTCGGCCAATCAGCGGCGGGGCGTTGCCACGCCACACCGAAAAAAAATCTGAGCCTCTTTTCGTATCTTTTTCATGCCAATTTTTGTCTGGACAACAGTTGTCTGGGCATTTTTAGAAAGTAAACATAACCTCACAGAAAGACTAGCCGTTCGAGATATGACCTCAGTCGAAAGGGATGTGGTGAAGTCTTTTTAGGAAGTGGATTGAAACCAACTGGAGACTTGGCTTGTTTTGAATTTTGTCCTGGGGCAAAACCACTCATCTTTCCGAAACTCCCCAAGAAAACACACGACCGTACTTCCTGAGAACTGCCATTTTTCTGCTGACTCCTGAGTGTCAAGTACAATAGAGGTCCCTGTTTAGTGCCGGTTGAAAAGTGCCGGTTGCCCTTATAGTGCCGGTGTTTTCGGCTCGCACACACTGGAATACCAAGTCGTTCTGTACTTCGAATAGTGTCGGTGTCCGGTTTAGTGCCGGTGAAATGTTGGCGCACCCCGGCACTAAATAGGGACCTCTACTGTACTTACAACCGAGGGCACGACGTCGCTTCTTTCCCTCAACCAAAACCCACCACGTTTATTTTCCTTTCACGTCACATTATATGTGACTGGGGGCTCAAGCTTGCTGCGCCTAACAAATACCAATACTACAAAGGTGTGGCGTGGGTGGGAAAAACAACACTACATACAGTAGTACTAACAGCAGTAGCCCGGGAACAGACTGGTCTCACAGACAGCTTCTCAGTGTTCTGCGCTCGTGCGTCCCAATGCTCCTCACTACACCGATGCGCCAACGCGGTGAGACTTGACTTGAACTGTCTTGCATTTGCACGCTTACTCGCGAAACGCAGATTACATCATCTTCGCCACATCATACAAATGCCATATTTCTTGAACGAATTCATTCAAAAACACCAATTCCAAACTTTTCCTCCCGTTGGTAGAGGAACCACCTGAAAAGCTTGCTTTAATAGTGATTCTACCACCCCTTTGACGCTGAAGGGTTTAGAGGCGATTCCCTGAATATCGGTTACCATTACCAAAAATTGAACCTTCTTTTGGTGGACTACGCCTCAAGTTCGAGGGCGTTGGTCGTGAACGACCAAGCGACGGCGACGCGATCGTAGAATGCGACCCAAGGCCGCCGCTACACTACCCGACCAACCCGGAATATAGGACAGGAAGACGGCCTATTTTCTTGCACCAAAACCAGCGCGTATCAAACAAGTACTGTAGTATGTAGCAGTCTAGTCTACATCGATTGACTAACGTCCACACAAGGCCTTTCCTAGATACTCTTTCATTCGCTCCTGGCGCCACTTTACCAAGTCATCAGCCCCGAGTCCCGCACCTTCACCTGACGCGTAGGAGCAAACGCCACTGCTGGTTACCCCCTTGACCCCCGCCAGGCAACCCGGTGCTGGCCTAATGACCACCACCGTCACCAGTATCGCCGTCAGCCCCAACGCCAGCGCAAGCGCCGACAGCAACAACACCGTTGCTTCGACCGTCATCGCACTTAGCGCCGGAGGTACAACCTAGAGCAGCTTGGGTGCTATCGTGGTGATCTTTTGAGAGAAGTGACCTTCCTCGGCTGCGCTGAATCCTTCGAGCGAACGCCGACCACGCTGTGATAGTGTCGGCGGCAGACGAAGCGACCGCGCTCAACGCCATCTCCGAGGACCTCCTCAGGGCACCGTGGAACCGCTGCATGTCGCCCCCATACTTCGAGTCGCTGTTGTTGTTGTTGGTGGTGGTGGTGTCGGTGTTGCTGGTGGTGGTGGTGCTGGTACTGTCGCTGCCGTTGTTGGTGATGCCGGTGGTCGTTACGTTAGAGGGAGAATGCATCGACGACCGCCCATTCCCGCAAGTGGTGGCTCCAGAATTGTCTTCTCCCTTGGCCCCACCTCTTCGTACCGCTGTAGTGGGTAAGGTGGGCCTAATGGCGTCACCAATGCGGCTGTTTTTACCTACGTTGGCACTGTCGATGGAGCTAGCATTTGCTTTGGGGTGGTGGTTATTTCCCTTGTTGCCCCCCACTTGATGTTGCTGTCGCTCTTCTTGTTGAGCACCGCCGGACGAGTCAGCAATGGCATCTTCTCTTCGAATGATCGCTGATGGTGGTCGTCCTGGTGGCCCGGACAACGCCGAAAGTAGATGGTCCTGATCACGTGTACAGTGCGAGGAAATGAATTGTTTCGAACAGGCACATGCGTAGGCGGATAGGAACCAACTAGCTTATTGTCTCGGTTGCTGCATTTTCTGCAACACCCCTCCCAGAAGTATGGGAAGGAAATAAGAAGGTAGTGGAAGAACTCGAGGCGGCGCAGATGAAAGCAGCGAAAACCATCCTAGGATGCTCCAAGCGCACAAGTAATGCAGCCGTCAGGGCAGAATTGGAGATCCAATCCCTACGGTGGGGAAGAGACGCAAGGAAGCTGACATGGCAGTATCGCATGTGCGGGATGGGACAGGAGAGGTTGCCGAGAATTGTATGGGAGGCGAAGTGGGCAAACAAAAAGAGGGGTAGACAACCCACGGAATGGGTCAAGGTTGTAGAGAACGTATGGAAGGGGCTCGGCATCGACGAAGATGAAACGCTGGAAACGGAGGGTCTAAAGGGGTTCAAGGAGAAGATGTATGTTGCTTGCACCGTGAGAGAAGAACAGAATCGAAGGAAAGAATCCAAGGATAAGGAGGGTCTAGAAGTGTACGGAATGTTGAAGGAAGGAATATTCAAGGGTTTAAGGATTACCTACATGGACGAATGGATGAAGGAACAAAGCTTAAGGTCAAATTCAGGACCGGGGACATAGGCCTTCAAGAACGTCGACGAAGACATAGGACGGTAGACGACGAAGACGACGAAGACGACGAGTTCAAATGTGATTGCGGCTTCGAATGCGACGACCGTGTTCATGTAGTCGCGGAATGTCCGTTGTACAAGAAGGAGAGGGAAGTGTACGTGACTGAGCTGGGAAAAATAGATGGGACGTACAGGGAGATGTTTGAGGCATGGAATAGAGAGGAAAGGACGGTAGCTGTACTGGGGCATTGGAGGTGGGCTGAAAAGGCGGGAAGGGATATCGTTAGGATAGACAGACTAGGGAAGACATTTTTGAGCCACGTTTGGCAAAGTAGAAAGGAACGATTGGCCATCGGTGATCGGTCCTGTGGGAACAATGCTCCGTCCTCGCGAGGACGCGTGGTCAGTGGTCTAACCGCTAAGGCATGCAAAACATAAGAGTACGCCCCCCTCCCCCCCGCCTGGGCTGAACTTCCCCGGTACGTATCGAGAAGAGACATGTTGTGTCCTTGCGTCAAGCTTGCCTCCGGTCTTCATTGTGGTCTTGACAGTGCTTGCCCCGGCACGATACTGGAACGGGGTATCGAACAAGAGATGCTAGATGTACACTCATCAATGACAGCCGCTGGCAAACTACATCAATGACAACCGCTGGCTGACTACACCCAAAGTTATGGGCTGAAGAAAAAGAAACACCGGTGTACCGCGCATTATACGAAGAGGAAAATGAAGTTCAACGACCGACTTTTCTTCGTTCATGAAGGATGACGGGTACTTAGAACCGTCCGGGATGTCTTTGGTTTATCGCAGCAGAGGTCTTCCTACATACACCCCGAGAGAGGAAGAAAACACCTTAGTCGCGTTGTGTACGTCACAGAGGCAAGTAGGCTCCAAAAACCACACCAGTTCGATATACCTTGCATGACAAAACAAAAAGTATCAATTACGACCGTCCGTGAAGGAGTACCACAGAAACAGGGCAACAACAACAACAACAACAACAATTACTACTACGAGCCAACAGACTCGTGCATACCTCGTGGGCATCGTCGGTAGTCGGGGAGGGTTCAAGGCTGTTGGACCAACGGCGCGCGTGGTGGCTCCAGTACTTGCTGGCGAAAAATTCATACCTGTCGCGGGATAGTCGTTTGTAGCGCACGTGATTGGTTGTGCTTTTTGCGGTGTTGTTGGGGACGTGTTCAAGTTCCCGTGCACGGGATGCAAGCGTTTGAGAGCAACAAGCGACAGTGGAATCCGTTGCGTTCTCGTTTGACATGTTTTGTGTTTTGCATTTGGGTGGTGCGTGAAACTCAAAACAAGAGCGAGATACTTATATCAATCGAGGTTGTTGGTGTTTCTTGATGTCGGGACGGATCTTGGGCAATCGCTTTTTCTCGCTGTGGTTGTCAGAAATGAGGCCCGGCGTTACGTGTTCAACACCAACGCTATTCTGTAAGACAGGCAGCACCGCGGACGGCGGTAGATCGATACGGAGAGCCACGAAAATGTTGGGGGGACTCCGAAAACAATTCGAACTCATCCACGCGTAGGAATCAAAGCCAATCCTTCCTTGGGCAGACCGTTTATCTGAGGCCCACGAGGGAACCAATTTCAGCCGTACCACGTCCCGACGACATCACGCGTTATTGGTCAATACTGACTTTACTTTTTCTAAGCGGTGCGGGAGTGGTCTACCCCGATTACCAAGGAATCAAGACACTGTGGTGTTCTTTTCGCTTGGTGATGAGGCTTGAGGTGCGTACTGCCTAGTCCAGCCTACGATTTATGGTTTTTAGGAAGAATCTTGGTCCCGACACTGCTTCGTACGACTTGAACCGGTGATTCCTGACCTCCTCGATATCTTGAACGGGGTCCACAGGTTGAATTCCATCAGTCGGAACACCTCCTGATGGATCTCGTCGAACACGTCGCAGTGGTCCAGCAGGTATAGTGCGTTGCTCGTTTCGTCCTCTGCTCAAGCGTCAAACCCGTTTCGAACGTAAAAAACAGACGACGGTCGTGGGTACCTCTCCATTGGATTTGCTGAAATCACACACATCCACGAACACGTGTTCGACTGATGTCTGTAGGACAGAAAGACAGAAAGACACACAATGCTACAAGACCGTTGGAGTCCTTTTATCAAACGGCCACACATACGCATGAAAGGCGACTGCGAAACCATAAGTTGATCCCAAAATGGTATACACAGCAGGAAAGTATACCAACTTATCAGCATCTCGGTTGTGCTTCATTGACCACAAAATACCGTGCAGAAGCACACGAGGCTCAAGCATGCAGAGGAAACCTCAAGCAGCCCAAGAATGAGCTGTCTCGTGGGGTGCTCACAACCTGTTTCGTTTGGTAGAGGGATGAAAAAGGCCTGCCACACCGCGAACGCTAACAGATGGTACAGTTCTGTGACACTCGTGTGGCCCTTGAACCAATTTTTCATTCTTCATCACGCACGCGATGAAGAACACAACATGGTCACGCGCACACACTATTTCTCTTTCAGCGCGAGGTGCTCCCCGCGGTGACAAGGCCGACAGGTGACGTGGCAGGACCACAAGGAACATGTCAGACATTTCTTGGCAAAGGAGAACTCAAGATACATGCGTGTCCCGCTGAAAGAGTGTGTACATCCCATGACTGCCGACAGTGTCTCTGAGGGCGCATCTGTCAGGGAGTCCTTCAGTGCCTTTGCTGCGTGCAGTGCTTTGCAGACCAGGGACAAAAGGAGTTCAGGCCCGGCCCGAAGCACCCGTTTTTCGATCGATGAGAGACTGGAATCAGTGAGTCATTGGGTGAAGTCACGAGAGGAAATGGACGCCATCTGCCTCATGAACGACAGCTACTCGAAGGAAGTACAGATTAGATCAGCACCCCCCGAGAGGTCGACATCCCGACGCCCAGAAGAGGATGATGGCGTCTGCAAAAGAAGTGCAACAGAGTGAAAATACAAGCGTTGTCGGTTGGGGCTGTAATTGTGTTGTGGGCACATACCTTCGTTGGGTGCTGCTGCAACGCGCTCTAGTTTCTCGACGTCCTGCCGAGCGGTTTCACGTAAACTTGAGCTCAGGTTAACCTGCCTCGCAGGAGGAATGAGAGCGGAGCGAGTCAGGAGGAGAGAAACGAGGGGAGGCGTCGTCCAACGCCAAGCGGACGAGTGCTTGTGGCATTCTCTAAGCGGCGTGGGAGCTTGCTTCCTATTTTTCTTTACCCTGCACTACTTGAATATTCAGCTCTAAGGCAGAGCAATGGTTCTGTTCACTTGCAGAGGGACCTCTAACGGTTGAGTAAGAGAACAAGCCTCGAATGCGTGTCTGCCCATCGTTGGTATGACAGAAACCTTGTGCACCGGGGGTGTACTGCTCGTGTTGCGTAGCTCAATTGCCTCACTCTGTCGCAGGGGGAGGGGGCGCGGGATCTTACGTTTCTAAAACAAGGTAGGTGTCAAGGCCGCTTCCCGCAGTAGCGGACCGCGGTCGACGTAGACACTTCATTCCTGGGTTATATGTGTGTGCACCAACCTGCTGCTCTGCTTGTTCCGAGACGTACGTGTCGAAAATCAATCGCGCCCTCTTCGCACGAAGGACTACGATGCTGTCGCCCTGTCGCACCCAAGTCAGGTAGAGGTGAAGAGAGGGGGGAAAGTTTCGTAATCGCATCGTTAGCGATCGCACCGTCGGAAACCCAGGGGATGTGGGCGCAAGGGGGGGGAAATGCGCAACGTGGCTGAAGGCATTGGATGGTGGGAATCTTCAAGGAGAAGATGCCTTGGCCAACCATTATGTTCATATATCTGAGACTAGAAAGCCGGACGGATTGCAACCAGTCTCTTGCTTCCCGGAAAAAGCAAGAGGGGAGAGGGGGTCGGCTCTGCTTCTATAGGGGCTCCTAACACCACAAAAGACGCGAGCCCACGACAGAAGGAACATGCGCTGGTTCTCTATCTCAAGAAACTAATATGAGCTTCACTCGTTTTTTCCCAAACAGTGAAACGCTGTTTTTCCAATCCGCTCCGATCTATGTAGTCTGACGGCACAAATCGGTGGTGCTTTTCTATCCCTTGGTACACTACGTGCCCGGACTGAGCATGCCGCCCGCCGATCGTTGTTTGAGAATCGCCCCGAGGGCACCTAAAGTATGTCGATTTTTTTTATTGTTGAAACACCCCGCTTTCTATTCCATTTTTACACCCTCGGAGGCGTTCTCTAATCCGGTGTAAGGCAGATACCTCTCCCACTTCCAGAGCCGTTCCCATGTACGGGGCTGCGTACTCCCCCGTCTTGAAATCGCTGATTTCTGTCCAGAGGGAGACATTTTCCTCTTGAAAGAACTCTTGGCTGTGCCTGCCATTGTTGTTGTTGTTGTTGTTGTTGTTGTTGTTGTTGTTGCTGTGCTGTTAGCCATGGCCGGAGCTCGAAAAGAATAACATCGACAGCTCTATCCAACCCATTGTAAGCAAGCGTCGATCTTTGTCCATCGCTCACTCCTGCAGAACAGGGAGTGTACTGTTCGACACGCCCGGCGCATGCATCAGTGGGGACAGCCAAACACAACTTCGGAAGGAGAGGCCTTCTGCAGCCGTGGTCTTTCCGGCCAGTGCTACACCAGCAAGGAACAACAGCAGAACACAACAACATCACCTTCTGAATAACGATAGGCCGAGAGGGTCTTCCAGAAGCGTGAGCATGTCAACGAGTTCATCGTCGTCGCACTTGTGCAAAGCATCGCTTTTGCTTCTGCTGCGTGACGAGCGGCTCACGTCTGTGCTGCCGTCAATCCGCGAAGGCGATGATGAGGCCATTAGATTCATCACGCCCTTGTTGGCTCGGCGGGGTGCCGCCAGCGTGACGGGGCCTGCCTCCTGCTCTGCGGCCATGGACCTGGCTGTATTGTCCATCCCGCTGCAGCAAGACTCGCTTCGAGGTTTCACCTGCGGTAAATCGAGGTTGTCAATGGATCGCTGTTGACGTGTCCCCGCTCTTTTCTGCCAGTGGGATGTGGGACTCCGACAGCTTTTGTCGTTTGCTACCGATCGGAAACGAATGGGACCAGTGGAGGAGGCACAGCGGGGCAGCTGCGGCGGGGGAATTATCGATAGAACCACAACAACAACCTCGACGACGACAACGACCACCACCACCCACCCAAGGCGTCCCCCACGAATGTCCCTACCTAGCTCGGCATCATGCCATCGTTGAATAGCAAAAGGCCTGACGAAACCCTGATCGAGTTTGAATGTGATTCTAACTCGCAAAGAGACGGGCATGGCCAACCCAAGGAGGTACATCAATCGGACCACATCCTTGGCAAGATCCCCGCTGGAGATGTCACTCTCAGTGCTTCGATGCGACAAAGCTTTCATCTGATTTGCCCCGAAGCGAGGAAGTACTATTGAAGCAATGACGTCGACCCCTGTTTTTCTATCCCTGCAGTGCGCTGTTCGAAACAGCAGCAGCTGTTTGCAAGCTGAACGACCCAAATCTGCTGGAGCGTGACACCCAACATCCAAGATACGAAAGTGTACGTTCAATCAGAACCCCGCACTATTTTCTCTATCTCACGCACTTTCTCACACTCCTCCCCCCACGATGTCCTCCGATACATGGGGTTGTTCGCGGGATCGTAAAAAAAAGCAGTGGGCAGGGACGAGAATGATTCAAAACATCGTGCTCAAAACATGTTAATCCGCGTTAGCGCGGTGGTAGTGTTGTACAGAACGAGCACCGAACACGTTAGACACGCGAAGGCCGCAAATGTTCGAGAGTACCTGTTGTTGGTGTTGAGTGTTCTCCTCACGACCGCTGTTGGCGATCGTGTAGAAGGGTCCCGAGAACGTGTATCTCCGCCCCGCATTTTTGCTTTGCGGGAGGTGGGTGCCGCGGGTTGTCCCGAGGCCCCTCGTCTCACGGCCAACTAAGTCCCACCCATCCTGTCCGCGTTCGCACCCTTCTCCGTCCTCCTTGCCCTCCCCTGTGTCGTGGGGTTCGTCGTCCTTCCGGTTGACTGTTGCCACTCTCACCTGCTCAAAGGCGTCCCACAAGCCCCGGCTACATTTTCCCGTTCGGTCGGGAGATAGGAGATGCGCTGTGCGATGAGGGTGCTCTAAAGGCTCGCATCGCCGCCTGTTCTGCTGTTGCTGCTGCTAATTCTGGTGTTGAGCGTTTTCCTCCTTGCTTCCCGTGCTGTATCCGTCATCACCCGTGTGAGTTTTACTGCCAATATCAGCCCCTCCAGGATCAGCACCGACGACAGGGGAGGTGAGAGGAGTGACGGCACCGTCATCGATAACAGCCTGGGGGAATCTCGATGCCTTACTTAACGGCGGCAGTACCGCTAGCCTCGATTGGGATATCTCCCGGCCGCCTGCCAGCGACGGAGAGGTTTGAACTAGAAGATGTTAGTGAAGAGCACCTAACGCAGCTTTCAGCAAATACTGCGAGTTGCAGGGTCGCGATGAACGAACGTAGTGGGTGCTTGTGCGTGTCGTACTCCTCGCTTGCAGTGAAGCACGTGCCAACATTAGTGTTCAGTGATTCCGTTTATCGGACAGAGAGCTGCTCAAAGACCTCCGTGAAGAGAGCCCCCTGAGGGCAAGCTTAACTTCGCGCGAAATATTGAGAGAAACATGTACGGTGGGGGTCCCCGAACAAGGCGGCCTACACAATGCGGTCGCGCTTTTTTATAAGGCGGGTAAAAGTGGCTGGCATAGACCGAATAGTCAAGTCGTTCTACACATTGAATACGGCGGCTGCCCCATATCAAGCGGTCATTATCGAACGCTCCACCACCGCCATGTTCGAGTACCTCCACTGCTGTATCGCCACCATGGGGTTGATGGAAATGAAGACACAATCTCAACCGCGTAGGAACAAAGCAACGTACGAGACCGACAAGCAGGGAAGCAAGCGATTCAGAAGCAACAGAGAACGAAAGAACCAGATTATTTCCTATTATAACAGCCAATTATGTAGGTGAATCAACCACATGCACTTAAACACTCACTGTTTTCCTGGGCCCGTATGCTCCACGCACTGCCTGACGCTTCGGTAATGCACCTTGCAATTTGCAGAGAGGAAACGACATTAGCGGCGAGAAGTTTGACGAATAGAACGTGTAGGGGAAATGGTATCGGCCCCACGTTGATTTCGGATAAAGGATTGATGAGGTGCTCACGTTCCAATGAACAACGGTCGACAAGATTTTTCAGTTTAACCCGCACCAACAACACCAACCTGCGAACAGGTTTTCCCACTGTCGTAACGGTGCCACCTCCAAGGTTAACGCCGCCCCCCTCGGTACGTCTTCTCCTTGGCACCCCCGGGCTGATCAGTCGGAAGGTACTGCTCCCAATGCTGCCGTTAAAATTTGGTCTTTGCGGAGAATTCTCGTCGCTGCTGCTGTGCCGGCGCGTCTCGGGAAGCTTGTAGGACTCCCTCTTTCGTGTCTGGGCGTTCGCCGGTCGCGCGGTTGGGTCTCTGATCGGCTCTCTCTTCCCACTTGCGCCTCCTTTGACGCTGCCACTGCCTCCCAAGTATCTCCGGCGTGCCTCCGGCTGCGCGTTTCCCTGTACAAGTTTTGGGGCATGGGAGCGGACAGTATTCTGTTATTGACGGCCGTTCTCGATAGCCAACGTCATTACATCTCCGTCGAGGAGCATAAAAACATGGGCGCACAAGGAAGAAGTTGAAGAAGAAAACGAAGTCAGTCGCAGGTGATCTTTACTGTGTTGGCAAGTGGTAGCAAAAATTGAACAATATTAAAATATGTACACACTGGATTTTGTCTGCACTGTACTTTCACATTTTTGGTATTATACCAACTCCCAAACAGCGGGGAAATGGGCAGAATGGTTAGGATGCTTTTGGAAGCACAGCCGTGGTGTCAGGGGTCACCACGCGTTTCGACCAAAAAAACATCTTGGAATAGCAGCAACTTCCCAATGTGGCGCACGCTTAACTATTGCATATTTTACACTGTAGTAGCGTCACCCGTATTCCAGGGAACAAGCCGCAAATGAGAGTCTCAGGAAAACAAATTACGGGGGGTAAAGTCGCGCTCCAAAAGGCGTCTATGCTGATCGTGTCTTGACATAGAACTGATTTCACCAATCGAACGCATGGAAGACAACAGCACCGATGATTCACCGCCTGAATGGAAGCTTCAAACTCGATCAGTAACGTTGTACATTTGATGCGAAAATCAAACGCAGAGAATATCCCGTCCACCGAAAGAACAACATACACCTGCGGTATAAGATGGCAGGATATTTGGGGGGGGGGGATCCGGATCCTCCAACCAGGTAATCTTTTTCGGTACTCCGGCCCAGGTTTTCCTTTAAATGGGGGTTAATGCGAGTGGACAACTCAAAGCAGATTGCGGCCACAATTATCTGACTGTTCGAGATATTTTTGCGCTCCATTTGTTCTTTTCGTGGGACTCTTGCATGTTTCCATGAGTGGTGAGACATTGGGCTGTATGCTCTGTTCGAATGTACTTTCTTCGGGTTTCAGTAGTAGGCTGTGACAGGCTGTGTGATGACCGCCACAATCGTTCTCCCTAAATAGATATTCAAGTTGTTGAAGGGCGTGATAAGCGCGGCGGCATTGGATGTGAAGGCACTACCAACATCACAAACGAACGTCACCGCCCCCATGGCAACAACAACATAACAAAACTCGTTTCTTAAAAGAAAAGAAAACGAAGCGGGGGGCGTACTCATGCATCATTCGTTCACCTCGTGCCCAGCTTGGTCAGCGACCGTGATGGCAGCAGCTGCCGTGGCAGCAGCAGCAGCAGTAGGCGGGAAACTACGGCCCGATTTCCTCTCCCTAGCCCAAGAATCCTCTAGTTGTTGGCTGTGGATACTCGCCTTTTTTGGTTGTTCAGCCGGCCGCCGCAAGCATGTGAAACAGCCGTAACGGGGCAAGAGAAGGCGACAACGAAAAGAAACGAAGGAACGATCAGGACGACGGTGTTGGGTGGGCCTTTGCTCTCTCTTCGGCCTGTCGTGGAGAAGCCAAAAAAAAAATCCAGTGAACCGTTGTGTCGTCGTAGCGAATAGAAGATACTTCAATCGGAGCTTCGGCCACACAGAAAAACTCGACAAGGGCGTACAAGATTTTTTTGGTTGTTCTTCTTGTTGAAGCAACCCGCCTTGTCGTGCTATGCGACAGCCTGGCCCCTTGAGCGCGTTGTGCTCCGTAAGAAATTTCATGTAGCAGGCCGACGCGCGTTTAAAGGTGAATCCTGCATGCACGACGAAAGAGCCTGCATTGCAATGCCAGCACACGCGCAAAGCAACAGCAGTGATCACTACTTCTACAGTAGTAGTGAACAATTTCTACATACATACGTGTAGTTTCCAGCGTTCTGCAAGCCACATTTATCTTCCATTTCACACCAACTTCCGCACCGTAAAGCACAGGCCGCCTTGGGGGCGGTGCGATCTGGATGGTCTCTTTGAGGTAATGGCGTGCATTTCGTTTGCTACTATGTGCTTATGTGGGACAGGAGAATCAGTGGAAATTGATGTTTGGTCGCTGGTGTTTGTCTCGTTCTTCTCTGCTGTTCTTGTCAGCGATCGATGCGCTATTTCTTCTTCGACCTTGAGCATGATCTACCTGGTAGCCCGCAAGGTGCTCCGTCATAAGCATGTCCACAATCTCGTCGTGTGCCTTGTCCAGCATGCTCGCCAGCTGGTACTCCTCCGACGCAGACGCTGATAGTGATGACGAAGGCTGAATTCTGCTACTGCTGTTATGTCGATTTCTGTTGTCCTCGTTGTCCTTGCGATCGGCAGCAGCGCTCATTGCCAATGCGTCCAAGGTCGGGGCGGAGATTCCCCCTTCCCCGCAGTACCGCCTGATGTAAACACCACACAGCAGCACGGGAGAAATGATTCATGGCCAGCGTTGACTCTTTCGCGACGACAAAAAAAAAAGGACACCATGTACATTCTATCACTAGTCAACCCTGGATCGGGAATCAACGGGGCGTCACCGCCTTGGTCCTTGCACCAGCGGCAACTGGGATGACGGCAGCCGAGACAACCAACGCCTGTATCGTAAAAATATTTGTCGTGGAAGCATAACGTTCGTAAGTCGACAAGTTCGTATCGTATCGTTTCTCTGTACGAGTGAAGTAGCGGGGTTCGAGTAGAACGCCCCTTGTTGTTGATGTTACTGTGCTAATTGGCCCCATCGCACAAATGTTAACTCCTCAGTCCACCTGGGTGAAGAGGATCTAGCAGAAGCGCCGGCGAAGCGAGGATTTTTCCGCTCTCGAGCCTATTCATTGGATTTGTTGGATCACTGTCCTACGCTGGTGAGTGCGTGTACAGTCGCGAGGTCCCGTTGCATTCTGAGAAGCTCGTTCTTATGAACTGCAGCAAAAATGAACCCACGACCATTTGTGACGTTCATTGAACCGAAAACCGTGCTCCATCCCCCCTCTCCTTACATTCGGATCACCGCCCAGCGCTTTCGCCTCTGCTCCGCCGTGGTGGCCTTTTGAAAGTCACGAATCTGCTCGAGGCAGTCAAGGCACCTGGTGCCCATGTCTCGATCGCCGACGTCCACGCTGCCGCCCCTTCTGGCTCCCATAGAAGACAGGCTGGCCAGATACCGTTTGATGTGGAACGCTGTCTTTGGGTGCTCAAGAAAGGCGTCCTTTGCCGTGACCTGTAAGCATGCCGTGATCGTTGCTTGAAGTCTTCATTTTGGAATCTCTTCAAATAAAGCTTTTATGGACCCCTCAAACGCTCCACCCGCACCCATCCTGCAGAAGGCTTGCTCAATGAAATTGCGTGGAAGGCTCCGTCGTTCTAAATGCCACACGGTGCAGTCTCTGCATTTATTGAAATATCTCTGCGCGCAGGGGAAAGCTGCAAGGATTTTTTGTACATACGGAAGGGGTTCCGGGGGTGGTCAACTAACGTATCCGTGGTCGCTTGGCCGCCAAGTGTGCGCGGTTGCTTGCATGTATGTGCTACGATTTTTTTGGATAGAGGAGAAAGCAACCAAACGCAAGCGGCGCCTTTTCAGCCTGGGGGAACAACGGACGTGTGTTTTTTCCTAGCAGCAACACCGGCCGGGCCGGTGCAACGAGGAAAAAGACGAGCATTGTTACCACATAGTTTTCCGCTTGGCTTTTCAAGATATACCCACAGCAGTGCCATGTTCAGGTCAGTGCCTCGAGCCATAGTGCGGCGTGCCGGCGGTATCCCGCCTCTCGTCCGGAACACCGCGAATTCCATCCCGTACGTTTGATTCGCCGGCCAGCACGTTTAAAAAAAAAGCCCGCCCAAAGATATACATTCGGACCTTTCCGGGTTGCCCTCTCCGCGATCCCGTTATCGGGGGTCCCCGCGAACGAGAGTGTACTCTCGCGTTCAGCGTCTACTAGCTGGAGCTGACATATTTCACTAGCCAGCCGTTCGGCGAGGTTCTTCGCCATTTGAAAGAATGTGCACACCTTCTTCATCTGTGGGGGCTGTTGGCCCCTCTGCCCTGCATCGGCAGGAGGGCCGCCGCTTATCACCCTGCCTTCTCCCCCTGCCAGCCCGTCGTGACCCCCTTCCCCGTTGGTGCCCATGTCTGCAAGACCCTGCCAGAAGTCTGCGGGCTGCGAGGCTAGGAAATCCGGTAAGTAGTCCAACAGAAGAGTTTGGAACGTCTTCCGCATGGCTCTGTGAAAAATTGTCTGTACGGAGGAGCGGAAAGGGTGTGTGTGTGTGGAAACATATCGGAATTGTGTCAAGCACGAAATCAGCATGATGATCCTTCGAAGTTCGATAAAATCATGAGGACAGGTGGTACAAGCAGGTAGTTGCTTCTTGTGTTGTTGCTGGTGTTATCACGCCAAAACCGCCCTGGCTTCGGCGATCCGGCAACTCCCGCTGCCGGGCTTGAGGCTCAACTTAGGCCACGTAAAGACCCTCTCGAAGGCTGCCACTCAGGGCACAAGAAGCACAACGTACAACTTGTTGCAACTGGATGGCATGACGATGACAGCCTATCGCGATGTGTGCACGCATGGGTGATCCACGGTTTGACGAATGATTACTTGACGTAAATAATGTTATTTTTTGACATTCTTCTCTTTCTTGCTGTTAGTTTCCTTATGTAGATGATGGGCAGATCATATGCGCCTACGTGTTGCGCATCCCCGAAGAAAAAATAAACACATACAGCGTGAACGAGGAGGAACGAAGAGGCCAGACTTACGTGCAGGCCATCGCTTTTGCGCGACAGCTTGAAGGTCACACCCCCTCCGGCGGCCTTACCCCGAGAGTACAAGGTCTCGGCGATGTCTTCGCAGGTCCCTACGTCCAGCTCCAACTTGTTGGGCGCGCACCCGGGCTTCAAGTACCTCTGGAAGCAACACGTGATCGAAAAGAAACAAGCGTACCGCGCAAGGCGTGAAACGGTCACGGGGCTGCGATCAATGCTAGCGCTTGGCAGCCGTAGAAGCAGAGGTATACCTGAGAGCTGCTGGCTGAACCGAACGAGGATAAATTGACAAGGGATTTGAAGGGACGGGGGGGGGCGGCTCCGTGGTGTCGCATATTGTGTCCCGCGGTAGGAGTGTGTATACAATACCCGGACCAAGCGCCAGGCAGATAGTGCATCCAACAAAGCAACACACCGGTGACGTGCTGGGGAAGTCAGTAGCATCAGCATCAAGGGTGAACAAGGCCGGGGGGAGAGGTTTCTAGGGGAGAGAATGTGGGGTGCATGTTCCATCAACTGGCCAGAAGCATTACAGCTGAACAAGCTGCATCCCGACAACTGCTGTGAGGCAGACTCGAGCACGTTGTCGTTATAAGCTTTGTTTTGTGTCAACTGGGGCAGGGTCTGCTATCGCGTGAGGCCACTTCCAGCGACGGCCAACCGAAGGCATAGAATCGCCTCGCGTGTGGTCGAGCAGACAATAACGACAATGTCACCCCCTCCCCCCCCCCCCCCCCCNGTAGATCATGTTGTGCGGGGTCGAGAACCCTCACTCCGCGCAAGGGGGATGATCGCACCACGTTGTGTTAAAATGGTCAAGCACCCTCGAGGCAGTTAAACAGTGCTTACAACTGTCTCTGGAAGTGAAAGCACCAGAAAATAAATTAAGTCATACGCAGCTGTCATCTGTACGCAAGGAAGTAAGCACAAGATGCCTTAAACCCATAGCAGGATGCAGCGCACCCTTCACGCGACTCGCCGAATATCTCACGGCGCTTCGCGCTTGGTGATGTGAGAGCCTGGTCCGGTGAGAACCCGGCGTGCTCCGTCCCGGCTTTGTAGGGATGCGAGGTCAATGGTCTAACGACTACGGCATGCACGACTATGAGTACACCCCCC